TGATTGACTTCGATGAAGCCATCATCATAATCCATATTCATTAAAGGCGAGGTTGTCGCTTGAGGACAGGCTAAAGAATCACCAGGCAAGCTTCGCTGCTGTGATACTTCTTGTGGATTTTGACTCGACCAAGATTGTTGATTATTTATAAGTTGCAGCAACGATTGACCATATACTTGATTATTCGACATCGTATAAGGTATATTCGATGAAGACGGATGTTGACCCTCACAACTATTACTTGGCAAAATTTGACGTTGGAGATGGGGAACAAAACACGATGAAATCGAGTGGTTTTGTTGATTTAAATTCATTTGCGTATTAGCCACCATTGATGGAGGTATCGGGTAATGCTGATACTGCTGATGATGCTGTTGCAATTGTTGCGAGGAAACAAACGTTTGCTTTGACGCCGGCTGTTCACATGGATAGTAACCATTACTTAGAGTTGAATTCTGCGTTACTTGTCCAGCAAGAGCTTCGCCATTTTGAGGGTACAAAGTACCAAAGGCATTGGAATACATTGTAGACGTACTATGGCCTTGTGGGGCGGCCATCCCCGTTAAATTCTTGGAAATTAAGCCACGTTTTAACCCTTTACGATGAGAAATTTGGAAAATTCGAAATACCTAAGAATAACGAAAAAAGAAGAGAGACAAAATCCATAATAACACATAAACTTGACTCCAAAAAGTAGTAAACGCTCGAAGATTTCGGTATTATAAATGAATAGTAGGTGCTTACTAGTCTTTAGAAAAAACGGGTCTCTGCAAACAATCTTTTCTTTGTTTCTCTGAATTTAGGAAACACTCGATCTAGGGTCATACACATCTCACGCCCACAGCTTCTTATATTTATTTTTATTAAACCATTATATCCCTATTAATTAAATACTCTAATCCAAAAAACGATTAGAAAAACCTTATCGTTTATGAAACTAAGTTGAACCCCTTAAGAGTAGTTAGCTTTATATGTCTAGAGTTCAAATCCCTCACAAATGTGACTAATTTTCTGGAAAATCAGGTTTCTCACAAAATCCTTCGCTAAACTACTAACGGGTGATCCAGAAATAATGACACACTTTTACAACTCATTTCCGTGCACTTAACTGAGGTTTTAATATTCAATTGTTAGACTCATTTAATAGAGAATTTTCTGCTCTATAAAATCCATTACCTTCTTTCATTACATATTATTTTATCATCTAAAAAGATTGTGTAGAGTAAGGGCATGTAAAAAGTATAACTGCGACGAATGGAACAACTTGTATTCTTTTTTGTATTCGACGTAATTGATTATTTCTGTTCTACAAAACCCTCCATATCGCCCACTTGCACACTGTCATTTGATTAGACATTTCCTTGCGTTTTTCAAATTTGACGTTGTCAGAAAGTACTACTTAACTTGTCCACTAAAATATTTACAATTTAAGTAACGAAACGCAAAAGCAGCGTCGTCTGGATGATAGTCCTCAATCCGCTGAACATTTTTATACTACCTTCTTTTCTCAGTTACCATATTATTTCTCGAAAAATTACACAAAAGTCAAAAATCTATCAAAATTTGAATAGTAAAACGCAGCTATAGTTTTTACGTGTCCTTACTCTACACAATCTTTTTAGATAATAAAATAATATATAATGAAAGAAGGTAATGGATTTTGTAGAGCAGAAAATTCTCTATCAAATTAGCCT